ATGACTAGAATTTAAGAATCTACGATGACCAAGAAAGACATTCTTCTGACCAAATTCTAACCGTGTCCAATCTGTGTTTTCTTCACAGATAGGACACACATTGACCTTTAATGCTATACCCCGATAGATTTCCGTATGCTGGAAAATAATTAATTGTGCCAAACAACATCGCCCTCAAATTGAAACTTTCTTTCCTATATCCATCATAAACCTCCACACCGTTCTCCCACAAACTCTTTAAGTCTTCGATTAAAGGTGTCAAGTATACGTCTATGTCATTCCCTGGTTGTTTAGGGCCAGAAATTAACATAAATAACATCATATACTTACGCTTCATACATAGCCATGGAGGTAGGTTATAAATCATAATAATTACAGGCCAGGTGGAATGTGAGATACTTTGCAGACCATGCAGATTCATTCCATCAGTCGATAATGCCAAGCGAAGGTTTCTAGCTTCTTCTCCAAAATCAGGATACTCATTATCAATTTTCATCCACTGTGGTGAATCTGCCGGATGTCGATACTTCCCATCTATAATTCTATCATCTGAATGCCAAGTCAGGTGTTTTGCATCTGTTTCACTGTGAAACATGCGTCTAAATCTCGGAATTATAGGAAAATACCATAAAAGTTTTGCTGGTGACAACTTTTTCTTATACCGAGATACACCACATTTAGGACACTCGTTTAATGATGCATATTCATTTCGAAACAAAATGCAATCATTTGGACAAGCATGTATCTTATCATAGCTCATGCCAATAGAGCATAACATTTTTTTAGCTTCATAGGTTTGACTGGGAAGAACATTATCCTCCGGAAGCATCTCTTGAAGTAGGGCTAACAACTCTGTGAAACTTTTATCCAACCATCCATTACCCGCCTTTAAGTTGTACAACTTTAATACCGCAGATAATCTTGTGAAAGTAGTGCAACCTTTATACAACGGTTTCTCTGCATCGCTTACCAACCTCTCAAACATCTTGGGACAATATTGAAGATCTTCTTCAAGTGCTTCTGCAATCTCTTCGACTCGACCACAATCATATGTATCTCTGCCATTGTCCTTTGAAGCATAGGTCGTATTATCCCCGGGGATATTCTCGTTACTTATCTCACCATTTAATGTCCAACATGTATAACTTCGATCAATTCCATGTCTCATTAAATGAGATTCCAACTGAACAGCGTCAATTTGACGCCCATAACAACAACCTAAGCAAGGACATGTGATCCTACTGGGGTCTTTAGCGTGTTCAACAACAAACTTAACGAATTTCGATACCCCATTCTCGTACTCTTTAGACAATCGATTGGAAGACATCCATTTTTTATCCATACTAATTGAGTAGTCTAAACTAAACTAAGAAAGTTAAACAAATACAGAGAATACCTGTAAAGAAATCAATAACTTCTAAGAAAGCTACACAGTAGGATGCTTGAAAACGATCACAACCTTGCTCTTCACAGGTAACCCCTATAACAGACAAAATTAATAACATCATCAACATTAAATAATTCTTGGAACATCAATTATTGATAAAACTTGCAATAAAATTAATTAATTTGCAATTAATATGAACTCATATACAATTTTTACTAACATATTAATTATTTAAAATTTTATATAATTTTATATTTATCTAAAATTATCTAAAATTTTATATAACTTGAGTTTATATTTATCTAAAATTTTATACAATTTTTACTAACATATTAATTATTAGTAAAAAGAACTCATATAAAGCGTAAAAATTAGACAATAGTACACTTTATATGTGCTTTAGGATGATAAATGATGTCCTTTGCGTTATCCTTTGCGTTGAACAAAATTATTTTCTTATACTATTTTGGTAAATTAAATGTTACTAAATTAGCCAGACTGTACAAAATGCAAATCTTCCCACATAATATTATTAATACTCAATATACCTGAGAAAAATTGACTATAACAGGAAGAATATGTGCCACACAATCTTGAGGCTCCAACAATTTTCCAAGTGATGCACAACCCTCAACAGCAAGAAGCCGAACAGAATATTGATCTACAAGAACAAGAGTCAATAAGTTATTATTTTTATATACATATAGATAGATTCAGTAGGTTACTTCAAAAACAATTTGCTATTCAATAAATGAGCATAACAAACAAAAATTATATTCACTTAAACTGGTTGGAAAAATATACTAATAAACTGACAATGTCTCTAGTTACTAATAAGGATTAAGGAAAATAAATAAACTTCAAGATTAACAGAAACTTAAAGCTTTCATCTGAATCACAAATAGTGTGAAGCTTCTAAGGCAACATAATCTAAAAAACCATTGAACAAACAAAATTTATCAGAATGCCAATTTCAAATAAGATTTGTAGGCAACAATAATGAAAATTCCCTTATTAAAATTATTAGTAAAAAGAACTCATATAAGGTGTGGCATTTCAACAAACACCTTATATACGGCTAAATATAATGAAAGTTAACATAAGTAAATTCATTGTGGCATTTCAACAAACACCTTGTATACAAAACTCAAGCCAATATCAAAAGAGTATTTCTCATCAATGGTATCAACAAAAACAAGTCAATAACTCAAAAAAGAAGTAACACTAACATCATATAATCCAGAAAAATGGAATACTAAGACAATAATCCAGAAAAATGCAAAATGAAAAACTTCAAATACCGTAACAATGGAGGAAATGCGCTACAGTGGCTGTCGAAAACGGACGGTTAAATGGAGGAGAAATGCAACACAGGCTGAACGAAGGTGGGCGAAGGAGGCGCGGCAGTCGGACAGAGGAGGGTGACGGCCGGTCGTGGTGAATAGGGTTCTGGTTCGCAGAGAGGAGAAAGAAAGAATGAAGAACGTACGCGCACGAGCTAGCTATCTGTTATGTTTCTTTAAAAAGTTCTGTGATATTTTAATTTAATTATAATAACACCTATGACAGCGCTTTTTAATACCTACAGCAGCGCTTCTAAAAGCGCTTTCTTTGAAAAACCATATAGCAGCGCTTTAGAAGGAAAGCGCTTTCTTTAAAATTATGTGATATTTTAATTTAATTATAATAACACCTATGGCAGCGCTTTTTAATACCTACAGCAGCGCTTCAAAAGCGCTTTCTTTGAAAAACCATATAGCAGCGCTTTAGAAGGAAAGCGCTTTCTTTGGCACACCCTACAGCAGCGCTTTAGAAAAGCGCTTTCGTAGGACCAACCTACAGCAGCGCTTTACAAAAGCGCTGTCTTAGCCCATGCATTTAGCAGCGCTTTAAATAAAGCGATTTCTTAGTGTACCCCTTTAGCAGCGCTTTTTTAAAAGCGCTGTCTTAGGTATGCTGTTTTTTTCTTTTTTTTATTACTCTTTAGCAGTGCTTTTCCTAAAACCGCTGTCTTTATATGCGCTGCTAAAAGTCAATTCTGGCATAGTGGAACATGATTATTCTGTTAAGAGAATTATGATATAAAATGAATCCGCTGCTACATGCAAAGTGAAACTTTGAGAAGCATGATTATTTATTAAAGTGTTAATAAGCATGACAGGTGTTTTTTATGTTTGAAAGTTATGTGTGACACCCTTTTGTGAATGCATGATGACTAGTATATTTTCCGTGGGGTTTATAAGGGTGTTACACAGATCATGAATCCTGGGGTTCAACAAAGTTAGCACTCTAACACTTAAGTCAGTATAAAGAGAAGAAGAGTGAAATGAATTTGTATTTGAAAGTTGTTACCTCGGTTTGGTGCATACTCTATATATAGAGGGAGAAAAATAATGAACCAACTATTTGGTCGCCTTTCGTTGCGGATGATCGTTGGATGTGTTTTTTCTATTGAGATCTTTTGGGATCGTAGAAAAAACTATCTTCCCTTATTGGAAAGATTCATGATAGAATGTTCAGGGTATTTCTGGTCGGGGACATTGATCTCCATCACTTTAGGTGGGGAATTGATTGTTTTAGTTAGACATGCAAAACGTCTTTGACAACACCCCTGATTTTAGGTGGGAAATTGATTTCTTTATGCTGGACTTACAAAGCATCTTCGATAACTCCCTTAACTTTCTCAATACACTAGGAATTGACACCATCAGTCGTGCCACAGATTTCTTGTCGCTATGCTTAGTCATAAAGACGAGAATATTTCAAAAAAAAACATAAATTTTCATTTACTATTGCCAAACTTGTATGTACACAGGAGGTTAAATGATACATGTATAACATTTAATATGATTAGAAAATGGGAACATAATCAGGCGGACCAATATCTATCTGAACATTCGGTTGAGTTTGAGAAATCATATCTGAACATTTGTCACTAACCAATATCTAAGAGTTAAGAATTGGAAGTTTATATATATATATATATATATATATATATATATATATATATATATATATATATATATATATATATATATATATATATATATATATATATATATATATATATATATATATATATATATATATATATATATATATATATATATATATATATATATATATATATATATATTAATATTGATTTGGTTATTATTTTAATGATCTATTTTTTATTTATGAAAGGAGTGAAATATAATTTTAGTTATTTTGCAAATATTTTTAAAGTAATTTGAATTTGATATTAAAACAAAATATATTTTTTAAAGTAAATTAACACACCAAGTGAAAAGGAAATTCCAGAAATAATTATTAAAATGAAATAATTTATTGAAATTGTTCAAAAGGGAATTCCACAGAATTAAAATAAAATAATTTATTGAAATGGTTCAACAATTAATTTGTATTTTATTATTTGTAATATATAAAATATAATTAAAAATAAAACAAAAGAGAATTTAGGGGGTTTGGCACGTGGGTTAGAGAGGTTATTACTCCATTAACAGAAAAATTAGTGGCGGCGGAACTCGTTTTTAAGTGTGTAAAAATTAGTGTAACCTAAAATCTTTACCCTTTAAATTTGTGAGTGCCGCCTCCTTGTTCCATCAACATTATGAAGATGAAGAAGAAGAGAACTTGCCTCGAATCTATGAAAAAGAAGAGAAAGAGTTGTATCAAATCTGATTTTTACTTACCAGATGATTGCTGGGAGCATGTGTTCACATTCATCATCAACCCCATCGACGACATAAAGAAACTCAACTTCAAATCCCTATCTCTCGTCTCTAAACAATTTCTCTCCATCACCAACCATCTCATATTCTCTATGAAACTTGATCATCTACATCTTTCTTATCTCCCTTGTTTCTTCCATAGATTCTCCAGCCTTAATTCCCTTGACCTCTCGTTCGGTTCTTGTTATCTTGACTCCTCCCATGCAGCCACTGCTTTGGCTCTCCGTGACAGATCAACTTTGAAATCTTTATCTATTTCCTGGATTATGCTGACGGATGCAAACCACACTACTTTACATTACATTGCTTCCTTCGTCAGTTTGAAGGGTTTAAATTCTCTTAAGTTTTTGAGTTCACGCATCTCTGATGATTTGCTTTACTCTATCGCAAGAGAAGCTCTTCCTTTGAAGACTTTTGTTCTTGAAAGTTGTACCGGATATAGTTACCAAGGGATTTATGCTTTATTATCCAAGTGTCACTGGATACAACATTTGGGTCTTCAAGGGGTTGATTTTCTAACCAATCATCAATTTTCCCAATTGTCTTTGCTTCTTCCTGATTTGGTATCTATAAATCTTAGTTACTGTTTCAAACTCCCACAATCAACTTTGTTTGCATTCATTAAGAATTGTCATTCACTTGATGAGATCAAGATGCATTACATTGAGAGACGAAGTCTAGAAAATTCAGATACTTTAAAAGATTTTCATGTCAACCCTCCATTAAAGTTTCTAAATTTGTCTCACAATTTATTTATAAACGATGATATTATCATACTGCTTGCTTCCATTCTTCCCAATTTGCAACTTCTTGATTTGACTTGTTGCTATCATATATCTGAAAAAAGTATTTGCCAAGTTCTAAGTAAATGTTGTAAGGTTAGACATCTCTACTTGACCGACTGTAAAAATGTGAGAGAACTTCAAATCAACTCTGTACTTCATCGGCTAGAGACGTTGAACTTGTCTGGTACAAGGGTTAATGATAAAACACTCTATGACATCTCAAAGACTTGTTGTGGACTTTTGAAACTAGCACTAGCAGGTTGTAAATATGTCACGGAAAAGGGAGTCATGCGTGTGGTTGAAAAATGCAGAAACTTGGAAGGGATCTATTTGAGTGGTTGTGATAATGTGAATGTTGATGCTATGAAGATCTCAATGCTTTCATCAAATCAATCATTAGAAAAATACAATTGCTCTGATTTTGCTCAACTTCGACTCATGTTTTGATTCTTAAATATAGAATATTTTGTTTTTAGACTTTATTTTTTAATAATACCAAGTTATGAATATGTATTTAAATTGTCATGTTTTCATCTAAATATAGTTAGATTTTTATATCAAGTTTTAAATTTTGATGTTTTTCTTTACTCAGACATAGTCATATGATATGGTCTAAAATTCATGCATGTTTGAAACTTGTATTGAGTTTAGAATGTGCTGGTTCTGGTGAAGAATTGATTTGGAATAGGATTGGCTGAGCACAATTACTGCTCCCTGAAAAGGTGGTTCCATTGTATTGTTTAATTTTGTATCCTGCATCTTGTGTAACGTGCTTCATAGGACTAAAATATGGGGTTTAGTCGTCGTTTTCTGTCGCAGTCTGGTTTCAGAGAGTATAGTCGTGGTGGGTGTGTTTTACAGCAGCCAGTTAAGTCTGGTGTTTCTGGTTTGTTCGGGCCTATTCACACTGCAATCGGGTATAAAAAATGTTGTAAAGTTAAGAAAAGCATTTACATAAAATATTTCAAATTATATAATTCCAAATCACAAATTGAGTGATTAATTTGAGACAATTTTTTTAAAAAAAATTGTTGAGTAGGACTCATGATGTGAATATTATTATTGATAGAGATATAAGTGTTTTGCTATGGATATCTCGATTAGGGTTGTCAAAACTAATTCTGTCTTGATGCATTCTTCATTTCTATTCCTCTATAAATAATACAGTTTTAATAATTACAATAACTACGTAATTATCTCTATTAAGTATAATATTTCGATTTAAATTTTAGTTATATACAATTAGTAATTTTCTAAGTTATACAAAATATAACAGAAAACTAACAATATCAAATTTACTTATTGACAACCCCCTCAAATTTGCTAACGAGAAATAGATGATGAGGACGGGGAAATGTCTTGGTGAATATATCAATAAGATGAAGTTGTGAGGTGACATGCGGAAGAGGTATAGTGTGATTCTCAAAAGCGGAAGAGGTATAATGTGATTCTCATAAGCTTTTCAAATAAAATGACAATCCACCTCGATATGCTTAGTCTGTTTGTGAAAAACTGGATTGACAACAATTTGAATAGCACTAGTATTGTCAGCATATAGACGTGTTGTTGTTTGCTGAGAGAAACCAAACTCAACTAGAAGACCGTGAAGCCAAATAATATTCGAATAGGCTGTTGACATAGCTCGATATTCAAATTCAATGAAGGACTTGGAAACTCATGCTTGTTTTTTACTTTTCCAAGAAATTAATGCAGAACCAAGAAATATGCACAAACCGGTGACTGATCGTCGATTATCAGGAGAACCTGAACAATCAACATCGTTATAGCCAACCAAATTATGCGAGTATACAATATGAAAGAAAACGTCACAGTGAGAGCTATCTTTCGAGTAATGAATGATGCGACAGACAACAGCCAGATGAAGGTGTCGAGGAGTGTGGATAAATTGATTGACATGTTGGACTGCAAACAAGATGTCAGGGCAAGTAATTGTTAGATAATTAAGACTCCCCACCAATTGATGATATTAAAATGGATCGGATAAAAGATCACCCTCATCACGAAGATATTTGACATTAACCTTCAGAGAAGTATCCACAGGGGCAGCAAATTAGAGTCCCGCCAAGGAGATCAGATCAGTAGTATATTTGTGCAGATGAAGAAAAGCACCATTGGAATCAGAGTGAACCTCAAGACCCAAGAAGTAATGCAGGCAACCAAGATCTTTCATCTGAAACGAGGCTTGAAGTTGTTGTTTAAGTTGTTGTATGACCACTTGATCAGAACCAGTATTGATTGTTGGAGAAATTTCCAAAATATTAAATTGATAAATAATAATGGTTAAATTAACAAAATAAATGGCCAAAAGTAACAACTGTACATAATAGAACCAGATACCCTATAATGATTGGGTGTGTGTTCAAAATGTGCAACCACCAGATTAACACAACTTTTCATGAAAAAGTTTGTTGTTATTTGATCTTACCGGTTGATCAGAACCTGAGGTGGGTCAAAGACAAACGTCTGTGATGCTGGGTGTGAAAGAGGAGGAGAGGGTGTACCTGCAAGACACTCCGATGCTAAAGTAAGAAAATGGGCAAGAGAGAGAGAGAGCAAGTACATAATATGAGTATTTCAGGGTGAATATTTGATACCTTAACCTCTCAAGTGAGAGGGTTTTTATAGTGCCCCCAGCGCTTTGCCATTGGTCCCTATTTTCGGGACGAGATAAATGTTTCCTGAAGAATAGGTAACTGCCAGAACTAGCCCTTAGAACGGGCAAAGGTGCCCATAACTAGACGTCTTGGCTGTTTATGGATGGTGTAACCGTGCGTGACAGGAAAGGACTTCTAGGAGAAACACTGTGACCAAGGGTAAATTGGCCAGCTTCCCCTGTTTGAGGGGTAGAAAGGTAAATGATCCCCTCAAAGTGATTGGACTTAGGCAATTGAGTCATTCTGGGTGCAGAAGTGGATTGGGCCACGCCTAGCAATTGGGTCAGTCCGAAACAGTAACCCCTAAGTTGTTGCTACCGAGCATGATAGTGATGAATTAAAGACAGTTCGCTTTCCATGCATAGTTGTCGTAATCTTCCTTGTGTCTAAAGAAACCTGTGTCCGGACATCTGAAACGTTGTTGTCGGGGAGCTTGAGGTTCAGGGAGCCCAACGGTTGATGGGATTTGAAGAGTGAGGGTGTCACGTGTGCCTCGATCCGTATGCTGTATTAAATGCGTAATGATGGCTAGGCTTGGGTCATTATGACGCCCTACACGCGCGTGCTCATGCACGTGCCTGGAGTTTTCCTATAAATAGTGAGAGGGTTTGTTCATTCATAACTTTCGTTCTCTCTCCTCTTGCTCTATGTTCCTCGTTCTCCGCCGCTCACCGCCGTCCAATTTCTTTCCGACCACTGTACAAGGTCCGACCAGATCTACTCAAACCCAGAAATTTCTTCCTCGACCAAGTAAGTATGTTTATTATTTGCTTACTATCTGTTTTTCTGGTTTTATGCTTTAGAATGCATGTGGTTAGGGCTGAAACAAGGTAGTTCTAGGGCGTTTTAGTGGTGGTTGTTGGTGGCAGACGGTAGCGCAACCATTTTCTTTGTTGTCGGCATCGTAGTGGTTGTTTTTAGGAAATAGAAATTTAGTAGGCCATAGGTTTTTAGTTGATCCCGGAGTAGTGACGACACAACAGTGTTTACTGTCGGATGGAACCATGGATTTTAGTGGTTCCTTCATGAGAGTTCTGGGTTTTATGCGCGGGGAGTCTTCCCCGGATGTGGCATAGAGAACTCCCAGGAACTTCCTCATTTGTTTAGTTATGCCATTTGAGTAGGTCTTAGGCCGAGGTTGTTGTCTTTGACCCTTTGCGCGCCCTTTCACTTGACTAGCAATGAAATGGTGGATTTGAGTTTGTCGTTGAATTCACTTTTATCCTATACTTTTCATGTAAAATGGCCGTAAGGATTGAGGGCGTCCTTCATATCGACGATGTAACTGAGTCCGACACTCTCGTCGAGGAAGTTGGAGTCGAACGAGTTTATACACCTGAATATTGGGCCAGACAGGAACCGCTTAACTGTTGGTGTAAGCCCTAGAGGCCAATACTTTTTGGTACTTGTATCAGATTATTCGTTTAATAATAAAAGGCATTTCTTTATTATGTTTGTCTTTCAGAATAATAAAGTCCCTAGAATAGTTAGTCTGTTTAATGAAATGTTAAGTGTGACTTAATCATGAGATCCCATTTAAACATAAAGACATTATTCTTAAAATATCCGTAGTCAAGCTTTATTGCAAAGTGGGATAACATTAAAAGCATTGAGACTATTATGAAGATAGACTGATGATCACATCTCATGGATCATGGATAAAGAGTTATCAAGTCTTAACATAGGTATAAATATTAGGAGTAATATTTATACCGGATTGACCCGCTATGAGAATACTACATAGTATGTTATGCAAAGTGTCATAAGTTATTCTCATGGTGATAATGGTGTATTACCACCCTTCGACCTGAAACCACTATGGACCCTAGATGTAGAGTCGGGTGCTTTATTGCTGATCAAACATTATCCGTAACTGGATGATCATAAAGACAGTTGATGGGCACTCCACGAAGCATGCTGAGGGACATGAGTGTCCTAGATGGAATTTGCCAATCCTGCATAACAGGAGAAATGTCTAAGGGCCCAATATTGAACTGGACAAGGATGACACAGTGTATGCCTTGTGTTCAATATAGACATAGGGGCAAAAGGGTAATTGTACAAACATATATTATCACGAAAAAGGTTTTGTCAGATCACATGACATTTTCGTGACTTGGGTAGCAGTGATGTGTTGCTAGATACCGCTTACTGTTTATTATGTTAAATATATAATTTAATATAATTACCAATGTTACAAAATCCTACAGGGTCACACACATAAGGACAGTTTGATGAGAGATAGAGAAATCAAAGGAACACCGTAAGGTACGGTGCACTTAAGTGAAAAAATAGAAATTCGGATAATATAATAATAATTATTGTTATTTTATAATGGTTATAAAATAATAATAAAATAAATATATTTATTATAATAATAGTTATTATAATAATATATAATATTATTATGGATCATGTGAATTGGGTTTTTAGCCCGCAGTCCACAAGAGAGTCTATAAAAGGAACCCTTGTGATGAAGCTTTCACTTGATGCAATTTCGTTTTGATTCTCTTTTCTCACTCAAATAATTCAGTTCGTAAGCAGCTAGCACTGTGACCGGAAGCTGTTCGTGTGGACTGAGTAGAGGCGTTGCACTTCATCAACGCTTGTGATCGCTGCATCAAAGATCTGAATCGCCACAAAGAGGTAACGATTCTATCACTGACCATGCTCATTCGTAAGGATCACTAAAGGAAATTTTTGTTTTCCGCTGCGTTTAGATCGCAATTTTCCTTCATTAACATCGCGTCGCCTATTGCCTTCGACGACACA